TTTATTCTCTTGGATCTTATTTCCTCATTTGTCAGTTAGAGATGACAGTGTTCACCCTGCCTATTCCCCAGGAATGTTATCAGATTCAATTGAAACATGTGAGTGAAGATGTTGAAAAATATAATGCATTAAATGCATTGAATTAAACAAGTATTCATCGAATGCATACTCATGCAAAGCCTATGGAAGACGTTGTAGGGGATACAGTGATCCCTGTAGGTGATACAGGGAATGCTTAGATTAGAGATTCTAATCTAAGAAGTCACATAAATAACTGTCAGGTTGTCTGTTTATAACCCTTCAGTGACCCTATCCCCGAGCCCAGCCCCCACTGCTCTCAGAGGAAAGACCAGCCATGGTGTAGCCTCTGCCTTCATCTCAGCTTCAGTCCCTCACATTGGTGGCTCCCCCTGCCTCCCACCACAGGACTTTTATACCAGATGTCCCTTCAGCTTGGAAGACCCTTTCCTCCCCCTTTCACCAAGTTAACATCTTCTTTTCCTTCAGATCTCAGCTCCATTTCTCAAGGCAGCTGTCTCCTGCCTCCCTGAATAGGGCACACTCCTCTCACATGGAATCTTATTATAGCATCCTTTTCTTTTGTAGTAATTTTGCATTTTAGGGAGCAATCATTTTGTTGATATCCATTTCCCTTAGTGACTAAGTTCTGGGAGGACCAGGACCCCATCTGTCTTTGTTTATTGACATATAATAGGCACTCAGTAAGTATTTGTTGATAAGATGACTCATTTTCTGACTGACTGAATGAATGTTCCTGAAGAAAGATCCAAACAAATACTGCAAAAAGACAAAGGAAGAGGTAATTTTTGAAATGAGCCGTAGATGAGGTTGCATAATGCTGCCTAGATGCTGGTTTGATGGATGATTGTGATTGTTACTGATCAGCTTCAAGTGATCTTGGCGTTTGTTATAACAAAGATATTGCTGGGTTTTAATTGTGACCTCTTTTTGGATATTTTTTAATAAGTTCTGACTTAATTGATCTGTCCTAGGAAATAACCCATTCTCTTTTGGCAGCCCAAGCATGAACCTCTCAGCACCTTCTGTGACCTCATGGGTGTGGACTGTGAGGAGATGTGTCACTGGCTCTGCCATCGGAAGCTGGCTACTGCCACGGAGACGTACATCAAGCCCATCTCCAAGCTGCAGGCCACGAATGCCCGCGATGCCTTGGCCAAGCACATCTATGCCAAGCTCTTTAACTGGATTGTAGATCATGTCAATCAGGCTCTCCATTCTGCTGTCAAACAGCACTCTTTTATCGGTGTGCTGGACATTTATGGGTAAGTGTATTTGGCTTAGTGGTCTGCCAGAGAGCATTTCTGTCTAGAGATTATCTCAAAGTGGATATTTGCTTTTTTTTTCTACTGGTGAGGAGAAGGGAAAATTAGAGAGAATTTCTAAAAATCTAATTTCATTTGCTAGTTTCTCTTCTCTGGGTGCCTTTCTTTAACGGTTAAAACCGTTCCTGTACATTTGTGCTTTATGATGCCTAATTTTTCATTATCTGGTTTAGTTTTTCAAAAGAACCTATGAAATTTCTATTCCCAGTTCCCTTCTGTGTGTATGTAGACACTTGAATCTGTAAATTGACAAGAGCAATGACTTTATCATAATTCTGATTGTTCCCCACGTGGGAATGAATTAGCCCTCAAATACATGCTGTTAAACACCTCTACGTGCTGCAGCCTTTAAAAAATTTCTCTGCCACTTGACTCATGCCTATCTGCTGGGCACATATTTCCTGTTACTGACTTACAAACCCTTATTTTCACTGATGTAGAAAGAAAGTTTCACAATGTTGAGAAATTTCCCCCACTTTTTCTTTCTAATGTGCGCATTTTGAGTATTTTTAAGAGCTGTTTGTTCCTTATTCTCCCCTTCCCATATTATTTTTGGTTTTACAGATTTGAAACATTTGAGATAAACAGTTTTGAACAGTTTTGCATAAATTATGCAAATGAGAAACTCCAGCAACAATTCAATATGGTAAGAATTTTCTTGCTTGAATAATACTCTGCCAAAAATTATTCTCTTGAATTCCTAGTCTATGTTTAAAGGCTGGTTCCTAAAATGAAGTTGTGAATTACAGTTATTATCCATGGTTTAAAATAGGTAAACTGCTGAGGAACTCATGATTAATAAGTAATGCAACCTTGAAAATGTTTATGGTCCAATGAGATTCAAGGCCATCCTTGGACTGCTGTCTGAGAATAGTGAAAATTTAGTTCAAATAAATTGAGAGAGAGAAGCAGAAAGTGTGTTAGGTAGTAACACAGAGCCTATGAAACTCAGCCCAGGGATATCCTTCAGTTGGTTGTTCCTGAGGCTAATTGTATGTAGAGTTATGACCACCTTAACTCTCACTTGCTGTATTAGCAAAATGTGAGAAAAAAAAAATCAGGACATATTCTCTTTTCTACATGTATTTTACATATTCTATTTCACATATTCTTTTTTCAACAGTCTGAGACATTCACTGAGACAATGTCAAAGGGACTATTTTGAGAGTGGCTTTTGTGGAGTAATAATATCAAATATCTTAGAGCATTATCCTGGTATCAGAGGATTTGGAGATGCTTAAAAATGATTGTAATAGTGAACAGCATGGACCCGCAAGATGAGTTGCTTAGGTTAGAATCCAACTCTGCATTGACTATCCAGCGGACCTTGGGCAAGTTAATTGACCTTGCTGGACCTTAGTCACCTCATCTATGTAATGGGGATAATAATAGTACCTGTTGCATGTAGTTATATGGATTAAGTGAGTTGGGATATGTAAAGTGCTCGCCACATGCCGGGCACAGTTCTAAGTGCAAGATTAAGGGTGGTTATTAGTGTTGGTGAAAGAGGATATTAAAAATGAGCCACCCTTAAGAATTGGAAGATGGAAGAGAATAGAGCTGAAGGACAGGAAAGAACTCTTAATACTTTCATCTTACAAAGAGGGAGGTCAGATGGTATAGTCTACACTGATGAACAGAAAATAGAAGTTAAAGATATTATTTTAAGTTACAAAGTTAATAAAAACCAAAAGAAGATCCAAAAATAGTAATAGTGGGAGCACAGAGGGAAAACAGTAGAGATGGTATGTGTAAATTTAGCCTCATCTATCTTATCAAGAAATCAATAGACAATGTTTCAAATGAATAAATAAAAAATAGCCAATAAGGTAAATATCAGAAGAAATAGTCAAGGTAGTTAAAAAATGGCCACTTCCAGGGAATGAGACTGGGGCTGGGGAGGGATCGGACAAAGAATTGTTCTTGTCATCATAAAACCTTTAAACTATTTGGTTTTCAAAAATATTGCATGTACTTTGATAAAAATTTGGGCCACCTTTATTTAGCGAGTACTTATCACAGTGAAATAATGTTGAGGTGATCTTAAAACCTTAGGCTTATGACTGTTTCCACAAGAATATGACTGATACATCTTGCATCTCTGCATAAGGAACATTAATAAAAACCTATCAGAGACTAAATTGAGCATTATATTTTCTCAAGGTTTTTTTGAGTTTCTTAAAATACCTTATTCAGTAGCACAGTCTTCTGTTCTTTCCTGGTGTATTTTGGCACAAGATGACTGGAAGTATAAGGGACCAACACCAGCCTCATTAGGGCCTGTCTAACTTGTCTATTTCTCAAGGACCTCGTGTCTCTGAAATGTGTTTCTGACTTTTTTGTTTCTCTTTCTCTTTCCCTCTTTCTGTCTCTATCCATCTGTTTCTCCTTCTCTCTCTTCACACTCTCTCTCTCTCTCTCTCACACACACACACACACACCCATACTGCATCTTGGCTTCTCTCTGCGCAACTGCTCCACTCCCTCTTACTATCATATGGCATCTTTCGTTCTGTTCTGTATGTATTTTCTCAAAGTTTCTGCTTCCTCACTCACTTCAAACTTCCTGTGAACCCAGCAGTGGTCGGAATGCTCCCAGCCTCTTAACTTGCTTAGCTCCCATTCATCTTGACTTTTCAGCGTCAGCTTCTATTGTTAATTACCTGTTTCTTATACCTGAGAAAGAGAGTTCTTATACCTGAGAAAGAGAACGTGATTAACCCGGTTCATTTGTTCATCAGAGACCGCTGGCAGTTGACTAGCTGTGACTAGGAGTGTGGGGGATCACAATTAAGAATTTGGTTGTTTAGGGCTGCTCTCTCAGTAGAGGCTGTGGTTTCATGAGAAACCTGGTGATTGGCATGTTTAGTACTTGGAGATGTTACCATATTGATCAAGGATCTCTTGCCATTTTGAACCTCATGCCCACATGTCTTTTTGACAATTGGGAATCAAAAATTTTTGAGGCCCCATGGATTTTCTCCAAACCAGACATAGAGACTTGTGTGAGAAACAAGCTCTAAAGTTTGGAGCAGTGTTTTTGTTGTCAATGTGGAGACTGCATATAAATTAATGAATTTTAAAAAGGGGTCATTATTTTGGAAAATATTGGTATCATCAGTCAGGGCATCCTGCTGACACATGGTGCCCTATTTGTCTTCTCATTACTCAGAAGAACAGAAGAAATTTGCTTTCTAATTAGCATGACATAGATATTCATACAGATACCCTTTTATTTTTTAACCCAAAGCTTTTTGCAGCTGGTTAGACTATAAACCCTGCAAATGAGCCAACAGCAGCATTATAATAAGTGTAGAATAAAGTGGAAAATTTCCAGGTGTGTGAGGAGAGTGAGTACCAGAAATCTTGGTGGCCCTAAGTTTCATGGAGTTTTGGGTCCTGGAAAATGTGTGTTGGCTGGTAATAGCCACAGAGGGCTAGTCTTCCTAGAAAAGTAGCAAGATGTGTGAGAGAACCAAGGGAGACAAAGGAGACAAGAAAGGAAAGCAGAAGCCCTCAGGAATGAGTAGAGATTATTAGCATCTTCAGAGACCACAGTTTGTGGGTTGGCTGCATTGGCTGGACGTCCTGAGCAGTGCTTGGATTGCCCTTCCCACTTGGACCAACTTAACCACCTTTCACTGCAGAACTCAGACCACAAGCCCTTCCTCAAGGAAGCCTTCTCTCACCACCCTGTATCCATTCTGAATGAGGACTCTTGCTCTCATAGCTCACCACTATATTCTTCTGTAACATTATTATAGTTTGTAATTATATTTCTTGTGATTGTTTGATTTCTGTCTGTTTCCCCCACTAGTCTTTAAACTCCACGAGGGCAGAGCCCATGTCTGATTTGTTAATGGTTTGCAGTGACTGGCACGTAGTAAACAGTCAACACATATTTTTGCTTAGTTGAGTGAATGGATGAGAAGCAGTGGCTGAAGCATTTAGCAGAAATAGCAATGGATTGGTAGTGGTTGCAGCTGCTTGCAGAACTGGATGTAGAATCCAGAAAAGTGAGCAGTAGATTCCCTGACTATAGATGATAATCAAGACAGACACAAAAGACTGACAGTTATCTAATTCTGAGACACATGGTTCGGTAGTCGGCGGGGGGGGTATCCTCTCTGCATAGCTGTTAAGGCCAGCTAAGGCATTTATGTGCGCATGTGGCTAGCAACAGGGTAATAATTTAAGAGGCCAAAAGGTATATAATGCAGTTTGGGATATACATATCAAAAAATCGAAAAGACTGCCACAATTATCAGCTATTTAAACATTCACATACCTAGATTTTCTTGTTTACCAAGAATCCTATATAGCTGAGGTTTTACTTTGTGTGGGTTTTTACTTGCTTTCTTATATTGTCTTTGTGTATAAATCATGTTTCTCCCACGAGGTTGTTGCTAGAAGCCATAGACTATCTCAAATTATGTTGGTATTCTCTTAAGAGTCTTTTATAATGTTATTTCTTGACTAACATTATTTATGACAATGATCCAGTAATGTCAGTTTTTTTCTTTTTCCATTTCAGCATGTCTTCAAATTAGAACAAGAGGAATATATGAAGGAACAAATTCCATGGACACTCATAGATTTTTATGATAATCAACCTTGCATTAATCTTATAGAATCTAAACTGGGCATTCTAGATTTGCTGGATGAGGAATGCAAGGCAAGTATGATTTTCTGATGTACTTAGTGTATCAAAATTGATATAGTGAGGTCAGAAGGTAAGTGAGTTTAACCAGAGATTCATTAGTATCCCATGAGGTGCCATGGTGGCACCAAATGGGGGTCACCTTAACTTGCCTTCTGAAGGCTCACTAGACCCAAAGGGTTCTAAATATAATTGAAACTAGGAGAATCTCCCTTGTCTTTTCAGCTGATTCTAAGTTTTGTGAAAAATTGACATTAGATACAATTGCTATCAATTTTAGCCACTTTTGTGTACCTTTGGTACTTTTCATTTGGTGGTATGATATGGTTAAAGAAGTGCAATAAATTGTACAAAAGACATTTTGAATGATAGTTCTAAATATCCATAACTTTTAAATCAAATAGTTATTTTTTATTACTGATATATATGTTTGGGAGGAGTTTTAGCTTTAAGATGCAGCATGTGGGAAAAATATTGGATCCCCAACTATACTACTGAGTGATCTTAGACAAACAACCTATCCCTTCTCTTAATTTCTCTTTAGTTTATATGCCGTAGCTTACTAACCATAGGTTGATCCTCCTAAGCATCCAGATTTCCTACAACGTTAAGAATACAGAACTGTATGTTTTCGCTTACATGTAGAATTTAAAAAATAAAAAAAAACCCAATGAATATAACAAAACAAAACAGCCTCACAGATACAGAGATTACCATTGGGGATATGGTTGTGGGGAGGGGTGGGAGAGGGAAAGGGGGATTAAGAGGAACAAACTACTAGGTATAAAATAAGTAAGAAACAAGGACATCTTGTACAGCACAGGGAATATAGCCAAGCTTTTGTAATAACTTTATATGGAGCATAATTTATAAAAATATTGAATCATTATGTTGTACTGAAACTAAATACTATTGTACGTCAGCTATACTTCAATTAAAAAAAAAGAATGCATGTAATGAAAAGGTGCTCAGCCTCCTTGAAATTAAATAAAATGCAAATCAAAACAAAAATGGGATGCTGCTTTTTATCTGTCAGGGACTAAATTTGATAATATCTTTGATTTGATAATACTAAATGGATATTTATTACGTGTATACTCTTGATTGAAGAGCATGAGGTTGTACAACACATTTTAGAGGAAATTTGACAATATTTATCAATATTTTAAATCCACATACCTTTTGACCCAGCAGTTCCATTATGAATATACTTGAAAAAGTATCCAAGATATATATGTAAACGAAGTCATTGTGGCAGTTTTCATGAAGTTGACAAAAGAATCAGTAACCACCTAATGGCCATAAATACAAGAATGCTATTATTAAGAAGAAAAAATGCTAAGAATTTATAGAATGATCCTATTTTGTCCATGCCTTTAAAGACAGAAAGATAAAGAAGTTGGTGAAAATGGAGAGAAGAGACTGTTCTTTCTGAAGTATATAAATAGTTCACTATGTGCAAATGTTACCTTTATTTAACAAATTTTAAAAAACACATGATAGTCATGATATTTCATCTTTCATTTGTGAGGCTTTTGTTGTTTTAAAAGCATATCAAATATTTATTTGGTGAACCCTGGTAAAGGCAGATTGAGTTGCCCGAAGATTGAGCTGAGTCGCCCATGGTAAGGTCTCAGTCATTGGTTTTCATCAGTCACTGTTTGGAGCCTCTAAGGGAGAATGTGGAAGGAATGAGTCCCTAAATTGAATGTAGAAGTTGTTAGGCAAAGCCAAAAACTGGTCTCTTGGTTGATGCGTTAGAAGAGTCTCATAACAATATTCACTTTGTTATCTTTCTTTTTTTTTCCCCTGAATGTAGATGCCTAAAGGTACAGATGACACTTGGGCCCAAAAATTGTACAACACGCATTTGAACAAATGTGCGCTCTTTGAGAAGCCCCGTCTATCAAACAAAGCTTTCATCATCCAGCATTTTGCTGACAAAGTAAGGAAGCTTTATCATCTTTTTTCTTTTTGACTACTTAAGTTCAAACAGGAAAAAATCAATAGTCAAGAGATAGCATTTTTCTTTGCTGAGCTTGCAGTCTTCAGGGCTTTATAGAAGAAGTAAGCTTAAGTGTTGACTTGTTGGTTTTCTCTTCCTTTAACCTAAATGAGATTATATTATGAAATAAATATGGGTCTACAGTCTTCTATCTATAATTCTGAAATCCAAGAAACTCCAAAAACCGTAAGTATTTTCATAATTCACTTAGTGGCTAAACCTGATTACTGACCTGAGGTTATTTATAGTCTGAGGTTATTTATAGTCTTTATTTATCTCAATTAGGCTAGATATTTACATATTTCAATGTAGAAATGTTAATGTGTTTGATTACAGATTGCTGCCTTCTGCTAAAAAATTCTGAGTTCTGAAGCATAGCTGGGGGAGGGTATAGCTCAGTGGTAGAGTGTGTGCTTAGCATGCTTGAGGTCCTGAGTTCAATCCCCAGTACCTCCATTAAAATAAATAAATAAATAAACCTAATTACCCCCCAACCCCCAAAATAACAAAGCATAGCTGACACCAAGGATTTCAGAATAGAGATTGCAGACTTTTGTCACCCTTTGTGATTGATTCAGTGGGTCCCTACTAACAAGGTATACAGACTTGCTGCTTCACAAGTCCTGCAGTTGACTCAGAAGTCCAGAGCCATGGCACTAGTTTATGTTTCAGCAAATATATATGTGGGGCAGCCTTTAGGGTAAGCTTCCTGTGGTGTCCTTTAGGAATTAGGGTTTTCTGAGTCTGTTCTACTCCTACTAAAGACCTTGGAATGGCTTTAGGGCCACCTAAGGGCTTTGTGGTATAGGCTGGGGACCTCTAGAGTGTTAGGTGATTGAAGTCACTGGAGTTTTGGAAGCAGGGAGAGTCCGTTCACGAGTAGACCCCCTTACCAAGTCATATGATATTTACCCAGCTCCACTCCATCCCTTGTCGCCCCTTCAACCTTCTGTCAGATAACCACTTGTTCCTTCTGATCCTCTCTCCCGCTGTAATCTCTTCTATCCCGAGAGGAGACTTACCCATGCCGGATGATGAGTTAGGTTAGGAGATTCAGTAGGCCAGCCTTGGAGGAGCTCTCTTTGGCCAGTGTGGAAGAAGAGAACAACTTCTTATGAGTCTGCTCACCCATGAACTGGAAGGACCTTCTAGCTCACGGTTAATCAGCACTACCGCTGTTCCCTAGGAAAAGCAACATTTAGAGTTTTAGTTTAGAGTTAACACACTTCTTACCAAGAGTGGTAGTAGTTTCTTAGAATAAAACTGATGATAACATTTTGCTGAGAGTCCACCATATAGCCTGAGCCCAATAAATATTTTTGATGTTGATGATGATAATATCTATTCAAAAGTTTTATTAGCTAAGGAGATTTTTTCCATGTGCTTTCAGGTGGAATACCAATGTGAAGGCTTTCTAGAAAAGAATAAAGACACTGTTTTTGAAGAACAAATTAAAGTTCTGAAGTCAAGCAAGGTAACCATGTGTAGGCTTTCTCCCAACGAGATATAGTCATTAAAATATTAATTACTTAAACATTAGCTTTTTAACAATAATAATGATTTTTCTAACAAAATTAGCTTTACTGTCAGTTTTTAATTTATCAGATACATAACCTAACTTTTGTCAGTTCCTGCTTTAAATGCCCTACAAATGTTAACTCATCTAATTCTTATGATAAAGTGATAAGACCATTACTCCCATTTTACTGAGGAGGGAGCTGAGGCACAGACTTCATAGCTAGTGAGTTTTCAAGCCAGATTAAAACACAGGTTGTTGAGCGAAGAGTCTGCACTTTTAACCACTATGCAATGTAGTCTTTCAGTTATGTATGAAATTATTTCCTCCGTAGCAGTTCTAGATTCTCTTGTACCTTTGTGAGAGACTGTGAAAGAAAATGTGGGGGGTTTTTTTGTTTGGGTTTTTTTTTTTTTTTTTTTTTTTTTTGCTGTTTAATTTGGAAGGAATGCATGAGAAACATGGCCTTAAGCACTCCATCCAGAGTGGAGATTGACCTCCAGATCATTGAGTACATTTTCATGTGTGGTCCAAAGCACTTCGAAATCATTTTTCTTAGGCATAGATTCCAGAATCACTGTTTTCTAGTGGGAAACGAACAGTCCAGATTGCAAAGAACTCTGACAGCTATCTGAGATTGATTATGAGGTTGATATCAACCTCCACCCTTTGATTCTCATCAGGAAAGGGTGGGGAGGGGAGTATGGCTCACTTTCATCCTATAGGAGCAAACCAGGAAGGCCATTATTTAGTTTAACAAAGTAAATAGTCAAATATTCAGAGAAAAACTAAAAATAGTCATGTGAATTCTTCTGGATTACCGACCGGCACTTACTGTTTTTCTGATTTATTCTAAGAAAATCCTTTTAACGTCAATGGAATATTATATGAACACTTTGACCTTTCTTTTGGAATAAAAACTTAATTATTTTGATACTAGAAAGTTCATGTAAAGATCAAATTCCACTTTTACCCTTAGAAAATAATGAGTCTACGGTCTAGCAGTCTGTAGAAAAAAATCAATTTTTTCACTTATCCTCATAAGTGTTGGGCACTAATGCTGTACAGCCTATAAGAATGATGTATCTGAGAAAATTCAGTGCCAATCCCTGAGTATTATTCAGTTAAAGATTATAAATTATTTTGATTTATCAATAGTGATGAAAACCATAGGATTCTAGTGCTACTACTCTGCCTAAATAATTTAGCATAAACAGAACGTTCATGGGTTCTCATTCCCCAGGCACCCATAATCAGTTGTCTTTATTCTGACTTAATTTGGCTGATCGGCGGGTGGATCCTGAATTTTCAGAATGTAGCTGTGTATACTGAGTAATCAGTTGGAGTGGCTGCCAGTCTATGCAGCATTTTTGCAGTCGGGGGGGGATGGTGTGTGATTTACATAGTTTAAAGGCCTCTTCTGCTGCCAGTCAGCAAACCCAATCTGAGGGTATGAACTTTGTATTTTAATTTTTCTGCATTGGATAGGAAGCAAGTGTAACATAGTGTTGATTTTTCTCTTGGAAGTATTTATTTTAGAAGATCAATATTTGTGTTAATGTGTTTTCAACAGAATTATTTTTGTGGTAATACATACAGTGTAGGGTTCTGTTTGTGTGTGTGTGTGTGTTTCATCTTTTTTTTTCCTGTAGTTTTGCAGCCTCTAGCCAAATTTATAACTTGAAAAGGAATTAAAGTATAAAAAATTGAACAGAAGACATCTTAATTTATGTTTTTCCACCATAAAGAAATCTTCTGTTGCCACATCAAATATCAGGAAGCACATAAATGAATTGCAACTCGACTAAATACTACTAAATTACAACTCTATCAAATACCATTAAAATGAGTGGTAATCCCTACTTTCCATGTTGCTAGTTGATGAGGGAGGGGGCACAGTTCATCTTTGTGCCTTAGATCTCTCCTCTAACAAAGAGTCATGACAGTATCTACTTTAAGGTGTTGTTACGAGGATTAAATAGGTTGATTTAAGCTCTTAGAACAGTGCTTTGTGTATAAAAAGCTCTTAGTGAATAACGTGGTTGTTTCTGTTGCTGCTGAGATGATTTCCCACATCTTTAGGAAGCAGTTACTTGGATTCTCCTATTTTCTTTAACACTCCTTCCTAGACACGTAAGTTCAGTCTTAAGCAATTCAGATCCCTGTTTTAGGAATAGACAAATCAAAGAAAGAAGATGGAATGTCCAGACGTTTCTACCCACTTATGCCTGTCTGTCTATTTATCAGTCTCTCTTTAAATAAGTTGGCATCTTCTGTCAGTGGAGAATGGATAAATTTTTTAATAAATGTTTTAAGAAAATTGAGAATTTAGCAAGGTAAAGAGGTAAATGAGAGATAATCATAGGAGTTAGTTAATAACCATTTAATCAAATATTTAGATGCTATCATGTCATAAAGTGGTAAGTGCTATACAAAAAAAGTAAAACAGGGCACCAAGCTAGACAGTGACTAAGCTTGGGCAGAGGTGAGGTGCTACACTGGCTGAGGTGGTCAGGAAAGGCCTCTCTGAAGATGTGACATTTGGGGTATCCCCTGGATGGTGGGAGACAGCCATGTCAGTCGAAGAGCAAGTGAGGAGCACTGAGACTGCAGAAGCTGCTTGTGTCCAAGGTCCGTAAAGAAGGCCAGTGTGGCTGAAGTGTGGCAGGTGAGTAGGATGTTGGAAGATGGGTAGACAGGGGACACTTCTTAGAGGGAAGTGGGGTTAGCAGAATGGATTTTATTCCTGTTGTTGTAGATAGTCTGGACAGCTTTCATGTGGGGAACATGCTGCTACGTGGAGATGTGTTGGGGGGTGTGGAGATGGGGCAGTAGTAATCTGGGGGAGAGGCGGTGAACTGAGGAACCGAGGTTGTAAAGCATTGGGGATGGCTCATGATTTGTAGTAGAGCTGACAGTTCTTGTTGATGGTTTGAGATAGAGAGTGAGGAGAGGGGAGAAATTGAGGATGCCTTTGATGTTTTGGGTTTGAGATAATGGATGGATGATGGTGCCGCTTACTGGGTGAAGATTTGTAAAAGATCAGCCTTCAGAAGAAAGAATTGAGACTTCTGTCTTAGACATGTTTTACCTGAGGTGGCAGTCAGATAGTCAAGTGAACATATCACATGGGAACTTGGAACTAAAAGTCAGCAGGTCAGGGGGAAAGTCAGAGTAGGTGACATAAATTTGGTAGTCTTTAGGGCTAGATGGTATTTAAAACAATGGTCCTGGATGAGATCTCTTAGGAGAACAAGTAGGTAAAAAATATTAGAGAGTAAGGCATTCCAAATTCTAGAGGCTGGCCTGAGGAAGAACCAGGAAAGAAGTCTGAGAAAAATGGCCTGTGAGGAAGCAGGAGAATTGCCTAAAGAAGATATTGTAGAGCAGTTTCTAATACAACAATGTATAATGTACTTGTTGCGGGAGTGGGTATAGCTCAGCAGTAGGGCACTTGCTTAGCATGCATGAGGTCCTGTGTTCAAGCCACACCACTTCCATTAAAAATTAATTGATTCATTAATTAAAATGTAGTTTTTTAGAAAAGAAAACTCAATGTAGAAAATTTTAAATTTATAATTTGTGTAAAGAGGAAGTCAGCCACACACACACACACACAAACACACACGTCTATGTATTCTGAAATCTCAACACTGAGCAGTTTTCTGGTAAATACTGTAGATACTAAGTTAAATTGTAGCACCTTGTGGTGAATATGGTATTTCAGCCTGGCTTTATTAACCATTTCACACGGAAG